ATTAAAAATTATTTTATTTTATGTCTTAAATTAATTAAAATATTACAAATAATATAATTCTTAAGTTAATGTCAAAAAGAATTCGTTTCCGATGAATTATATTAACTATGTTAAGTATCTAATTTATTTTCTTATTTTTTCATAATCCTTATTTTAATTATAGAGGATTGCATCGCGTCAAATAAACTTAAATTCAAAAAGTCTCAAGAGAACAATCCGAAACTACTCGTCTTCTTCTAATATATAAGAGTCCTCTACAAAATATAAAAAAGAGAAAAATTATAATGCTCTTAAGCCAATGCCGAAAAGTACTCTCACCATGGACTTACAAAACTTTTTCCAAGGCTTCAAGAGTCCATTCTCTTTAAAAAAGAAGAAGACGATTTAGGAATCGCAACAATAGGGAAATTTTTGAAAAGAGTGAGATATATGAAATTTATTCGTCCGAATTAAAAAAAGAAGCTCGCAGTTTAGTGCTAAATGGTGATATGGAAGATGGAGGGCTTGTCGAGTTGACACAGATATGGGAGGTGAAAAATGGTATCAATATGAAAAGGAGATGGTAAAAAGCCTGATAAGTTTGAAATAAAGGATATTAACCCCGAAGAACTAGAAGAAAAAAAAACGCGACCGCCAACTGATAAAAAAGACCCGCCAGTCAACTGAGAAGAGAAAGAAAAAATCTCCTAAAAAAATCCAGCAGTAAAAAGAATGTGGTAAAGAAATCGACCAAAGTTGAAGGAAATATATGTATAAGTCAGCTGGGTAGTGAAAAAGGATGCTTATATTTTGTGTCAATAATAGTGGTTGTTATTGACGTTACTTTTGTATTTCTATAAATCTATTCCAAATTTTCATTTTTCTTTCATTCACATCTGATATTTCATCAAGTGTCTATAATGATACAAAGATGAATTATAAGATAATAATAATAATAATAATAATAATAATTATTATTTAAAGTAGGCATATATACTTCATCGTTGAGCAGCTCCACCCAATGAGTATAAATGTCATCCTCATGAAGATGAAGATATGAGAATTATAAAATGTTTGTGAAGGCAATAATGCCACAGGTAACGTTGTGTATTGCTTTACAGGATACATAAATGGTTTTGGATTTCTGGTACCTTCGTGCTTATCCATATCAAAAAAATCCAACTCAGACAGATCATCTTTGAATTAACAATTACGCGATCGCATTGTGGTTGTTTGCCATTCTACAAAATGTTTGCACCTCTGATCGATTTATTATTGTGAAATAAATGTTATCAATTTATCAAAAAAAAAAAAATTATTTTGAAATAAAATACCTTTGTACCAAATTTCAAATTGTATACGATTATTACAAAGATGAAACATTAAAAATGTACTATCCTTAAAATTAAGGTTAATACACCATGGACAACGAAACCCTTTTACTAATTAACATTATATATAAAAGTCACAGGTGGATCATTATTTTGAATAATAATAGGCAAATATGAACAAATTAAAATTATTTTTAAACAATAGACTTTGTCGTAAATTATTATCTCAAAGATGTTTTGACTCCAGATTCAGCCATATAATTCAAAGCATCGTTATCCTTCAGTTCTTGCACGAATTTGAACAATTGATCTGATATCATCCATAATGTTCAAATGATCAAAATTCGATCAATCAAATCAATTGGGATGCCATGAGGTGCAATAATATCATTTGTTCCTCTATCAAAATATTAGAAAATAAGTTCGGAGATTTTTTTTAAAAAAAAATAAAATAAAATAAAAATAATTTATTACCTGACTTGACACATTCCACAGTTTGTAGCGAAAATCACTATAGGCGATATAGCGGATTCCAACGCCTTATTTAGATATGTAAAGCTAATAGATTTTTAAAGGAGGTGTCTCAATTAACTGAAACCTCAATTTCTAATTTGACTCTATTAATAAACCTTTTTCACATGTCAAAGTTAAGACCAAGTTCGTATTGATCATCATTACAAAACTTTTCATTTTCTATAGCACACACAGAATTCAATGACCATCGGAACAATCAACAAGATTGGTATTAAGGGATATTTTTTTTTTCACCATTAATTGGTTTCTTTAAAGATTCTGAACCAACAGTGGCCATAACTATGTCCTGAGAATTGTCACCACCAAAATTAGTTGTGTAGGTTCTATAGCCACAGTTTCTTTCGCAAAAGAATCCATCAATAAGGGATAGTTGATCGATAAAGTAATTGAAATCATTTTCCATTGTTCAATTACGTTTTTTCTACATTTCTAAAAAAACAAATTTTTTTTAAAAAAAATACCTGAACCCAAGGTTTACCAAAGTAAAACCAATACTCAACAATATTTAAACTGAGAAAAGCTGAAAATCCTAAAAATAAAAAAAGAAACGTTAGTAACGTTTCTAGAATTTTTCTTTTTTTTAAAAAAAAGAAACATCTAAGATTGATTCCTTAATTTAACGAGCTTTGTGCAACCATAACGTGAATGAGATTCGATCGAAATTCGAATTTCTATTTGAATATCGAACTATTTCACAAACTCTGAAAGATCGTCGAAATCTCCTGATTCGATGAGTTAAACATATGTTTAAGTAATACATCGTTCAACGAAATAAACTTTTAATTTTATATACTATTTAAAATCACGTGATTTTTCAATAGACCCGAGTCATTCAATGGTCTATTAACAAATTATGAATAGACCAAATGATCTAGACCAAAAGACCCTATGGTAATTTGGTCAATTAGTCTTTGCATAACCAACACTGGCATGTGATACATGAAATGATTACACCTTTGACCGTAATTTCATTACATGTAGTCGCAAAAAAAATAATTTATGAATATAGTTGAGATAAATAATATTATTATTCAGTCGAAAGTAATAGTCAGAATCAGTTAGTTAAACTACCGTGATTTCTGTTCCATCCCCCAATCTCAACACAGTGCCTTTTGGCAGAGACGAGATAAATAAATCGCCTGTATCACTTTATCAGGAGTGATTAGCATATTTTTTGTGCACATTTCCCATATTTATTCGAAAAAAGATAACCTATCCCGGGCAGATATGTTATCTAAGATATACTATACTTATGAAAAAAAGTTTGGAATGACCCACCAATACATGCTGTATTATATAACAATCGTGAAGAATCTTCTCACTTCCAACCAATAGAAGTAGGATCTACCAGCTAATTATAAATCTTTCTGGCGAGTCTTGCAATAAAGTAACGTCACACCACCCGCATACAGTATACAGTACACTGGTTAAAAAATCATGAGCCCAATGTGGGTAAACAATAGATGCTTTATTGATATAATTCCATTTT